CTTCAACTTCAATACGACAAGATCAATTTTTTTCGAAGTCAATTAAATAGGCATTATTAAAGGTAACTAAAACTATTTACCAGATCTTGATTAAATTTATATGGGACCACATGAGAAGCACCAGCTTTCAGATAAAAAAATAATGTTAAGAGTTTAGGGTTCATGACAATAAAAACTGCCGATTGAATTACCAAAATTGACACTTTAATTACCGAACACCAATTAAAGCTAATACACATTAATCACACTCTTAACACTTTATTTCGCACCTAAGTCTTCATTTGTATCGCCAATTCAACTATACTGATCCGGTCGCGGCCCTTAGTGGCTATATATATATATATATATATATATATATATATATTTTAATGCCCTGTCCACCGCAACATCTAGAATATTCCGGCAAATACCGGTCTCGACCGACTAGGTGTAGAAAATTCGAGTGTGGAGTTTTCTAGAAAGCTTAGTTCTTCAATTTGATAATGGACGGCTCTAGTGCCATGTACCAAGCATCAACTATGGTGCGCAACACTGACCGCTCCTAAGACATGCTCGTCCAGAGCATTATCGGCCCCTCAATAACACGGCAGTCGATCATGGACGATCTTAGGATCTCTTGCACCTTTCTAAAACGGCTCCGCAACTTCAAGGGCCGTCCTCTCCCATGGTGCACCAACATAGTACAATTTCATTGCACCTCTACTACGAGTTTGAGGTCCCTTCACAGCCGCACAACTCGTACATTTACTAATTGTTACGAGATTGTGGTTCGTGTCAATAATCATCAAAATCAATTCACCCAGAGAAAAGGTGTGAGGTAATTCATATAAAAAAGAACATACAGTCGAATTGAATAGGTACCTCCTCCATTTTGAAATCGGTAAATAAAGTGGCTCAACTCGATACTATTATTTGGATAAGTTTTAGAGAGGATATTTATGAAAGCAACAAGTTAATAATATCATTAAAAGAGTTCGTTAGTAATATACGAGACCAGTTGGATCAAAAATTAAAGATTTTTAAAGAGACATGCTAAACGTTGCGTGGGATAAGCTGTTTTGGATTTTGAGTTTAAATAGAAGCCAAGTTTATGAGACATATAGTAAGAAATTCAAAATTTTAATGAATTTGCAAGACAAATATAACGAAAACAAATCTGGAAAGTGTAAGTACCTACGTATTATTAATGATTATTATCCAGATGACGTAGACGAACATTTAGTGAATGAGTGAATTCTGTTAAAATCTTACTAAAGCTTAAGCTAGAGTCTTACACCTCTTGCAGTGATATGTGTATGCTAATAAATAAAAGAAACTTGTTAATGTTTTCCCAAATTGTTTTCCTATCTTATAAATTTTTGACGTTGTCAAGCACTTGCTCTGAAGCGGAGCTCTTTCTTCAGGATGTCGTACACAGAAAACAAAATATAGGTCAACAACGTTGAACAATTGACTGAATAATTTATCAGTTCTTTCCATAAATTGTGATTTAACAAAGAACTGACAATGTAATGAGCGTATAAAGAAATTTTTTATATTAAAGGAAAAGTCTTTATAATTTATTTATCATAACTTTTTTTGTTCTTTTTAAAACGTTACCTCCACACTAGGATTGTTTCCCACATCGTAGAGGCAGTTTATAAACATAAATTGCACAAGAACAAAAATCCAGACCCGGAACAATTATTTTTAAGCCATACAAATACTTGTTCCGTGCGGAATTCGAACCCACGGCCAACAGCGCAGCCACTCATTGCTAACCCACTGGGCTTAGCAATGAGTGGTGAGTACACATAAACTTTTTAATTTCTTATGCAATAATGTCTTATGTTTATGTATGTAACTCATATATTTTTTCCCGACCGTATAACATCATTAAGAAAACATTTTTTTTACTTGATTAGTTTGATTAATTTAATAGGATCTCAAGAAGTGTTAGCCCAAGGCCCACAAATTCATTGTCGTCCCTGGCCATGTGACGCCTAAACCAGCAAGCAAACTAAGTTCTGTAGCGATGTTACTAGTATCACAAACAGACAGAGGGTGTAACAAAGTTTATTTCTATAACACAATGTCTTATAGTATTTTGCTGTTAAGAAACGCGACTGATTTATAAATTATTTTCTTTTGTAAAAAAGAACTAACAAAGGCATTTATATTCTGAGACCTAACTTTAATAACAAAAGTGATATATCTTTACCCATGATATTGTTGTTTTATTCAACTGACCACTTTAAACTCTAAAATATATAGTTTTGAAATTCTAAATTCAAATTAATTTTATAGTTAGTATCGAAATCAGTTATTCGTTTTAAAACGTAGTGATTATATACTCTTTAATTCGTTTGTTTGGGTTTTGTTTAATAAAACGGAATTATTATTACAGCCAATACAAAGCCAACAAATGATACAAAAAACAAGGAATACCCAGCCCTGAGTCACCTGCATCCATCGACTTCCTGAATATCTTAGTCATTTTTTTATTCAGGGCATCACTCCATCTAGTGGAGCCCTCCCTTACATATCGCTTACCGGTACAAGGCTGCCACTCGAGAACTTTCCTTCCCTAAAACTGAATGAATTCAATAAAATCAAATCGGTCGATGAACTGATTTTCGGTTTCATCATGTTCAGGATATTGTTAAACTATATCTTACAATAAAAATAACTGCTCTGCAAATAAACCTGTTTTATTATTATACGGTTTGCCTTTATTTACCGGCGCAAACAAATAATAATAACTATTGACGCATGTAAAGCGTACTCATTGCCATTTTTCGACGTGCATCGTGCATAACACATTGACAGGCCTGTTGGTCTAGTGGTTAGTGACCCTAACTGCTATGCCGGAGGTCGTGGGTTCGATCCCCACCCAGGACAAACGTTTGTGTGATGAACACGATCATTTGTTCTGTGTCTGGGTGTAATTTATCTATAATATTTATGTATTTAGAAATATATAAGTATGTTTATCAGTTGTCTAGTACCCATAACTCAAGCTCTGCTTAGCTTGGGACTAGATGGCGTTGTGTGATAGTTGCGGAATATTATTATTATTATGGGGTATCTATATAGTTTTCTCATGTGGTTGGGTTCTATAAATATATAATTATAATTGAAAATGAAAAGATAAATACACATAAATATCAATAACATAAAATAAATATAAAAATACATAAATAAATAAAAGCCCAACCAGATGGAGGCCCTCGGCAGGGGACACCAAACGGCCGAGGGTTAGGGGGAAAGGGAAAGAAACCGGCGGACGATGCGGGCGGTATCGAGGAGCACCGCCTTCTGCATTTGAGCCTGGAGCGGTCCGCCACGTAGTCCCAGTCGACTCAGATGACCCGAGAGGCTGGCTGGGATTAGCCCGTTTGCAGAGACGACTACAGGAATAATTTCGGTCGGCAGACCACCCCACATGTCGGTCACCTCGTGAGCCAGGTCCAGATATTTTGATTGCTTGTCTGTTTCGGCTTTCACGAGGTTCTCGTCATACGGGATGGTAATGTCGATCAAAAATATCCTTGACTGTGCCCGGTCCATCAGCACAATATCAGGCTTATTCGCAAGAATAGTCCTGTCTGTGATGATGGCCCGGTCCCAGTAGAGCCTGGCGCGGTCATTTTCGAGCAGGCTTCCGGCAAGTACTTGTAATAGGGCAATTTCCGGTCCACGAGACCGTATTTCAGAGCGAGCTTCTGGTGTAGAATCCTGGCTACTAGGTTGTGCCTGTGCAAGTACTCAGAGTAAGAAAGCGCCGAACAACCGGAGATGACATACCTAAGTGAGTCACCGGGATGGCGACAAGCTCGACAGACGTCGACGGTGCCATCCTTTGATAGAGGGGTAAGCCTTTGATGACTCATTATAGAATGGATCATCCGATCTCGCCAGGAAGTAATCACGGAGGCTGCACACTTCGCGATTATGCATGGTGAGCGCGCTCAGAAAGCCACGCCCACCATACTTTCGCGGCAAGTACAGCCTCATTAGCGACGATCTCGGATGATGCATCCTATGGGACGTCATGGTAGTGCGGACTTTTCTATCCAGGGCGTTAAGTTCAGTCTGAGTCCACCTGAGTATGCCAAAGGTATACATGAGGACAGGCATGACGCAGCAGTTATATGCGTGTGACTTATTCACACCGGACAAAAGGCTATTAAGCACTTTGGTCAAGCGTGCATAAAACACGTCGCAAACTGACTGTTTCATACCAGCCTCATCGATATCGATGTTCTGTGACATAGCCAGGTATCGGTATGTTTCAACTATGTCCCTCGGAAAGGGTCCTTAAGTTGACGGGCATAGACAAATCTATGCCCTCAGAGTTAGCAACCCTTCTCCTTTCAACATGGAGGACCGCACACTTATCCGTCCCCAGCTCCATTCCAATGGAACTGCTAAATTCACAAGTGATGTTTAGCAGTTCCATAAGATGGGAGCGACTGGAGGCGAATAACTTGAGGTCATCCATATAAAAAAAGGTGGGTCACTTTTGTCCCTCCTTTTCGAAGCTGAAATCCCCCTCCCGGAGCCCTCCAGTAAGGTACTGAGAGGGTTCAGAGAGAGGCAGAACCAGATTGGACTCAGACGATCGCCCTGGAAGATACCCCTTCTTATCCTTATGTGGTTCTCCGCAACCATCATCCGCTCGCCCAGATGACAAAGGATCGTACTCCACTGCCCCATACACTGCTCGAGGAAGTCTCTCACTGTACAGTCTATCTTGTACAGCTCGAGGACCCTCTTTAGCCGTGTATGGGGCACCGAGTCGAACGCCTTTCTGTAGTCTATCCAGGCGGCGGAGAAGTTCCGACGGTTGCGTTTCACCACTTTGCCAATGACCGCGTCAATGAGGAGTGGTTCCTTAGTTCCACGACCACCGCCCCGACATCCATTTTGAGCGCGTGACATCATCTGGTTTAGCTCCAGGTGACGAGTGATTCTCGCGCTCAAAATGGATGTCAGTGTCTTATATATGGTGGGTAGACACGTAATGGGGCGGTATTTGCTCGGGTCTGTGGTATCCTGGTCTTTAGGAACCAAGTGAGTGATCCCAGTAGTGAAGAGGCTCGGGAGTGACTTCTGGTCGAGAGCCTCTTGAAACTGTCGGGCGAGCACAGCGTGACACACTATGAACCCCTTCAGCCAGTAATGATGCAGATGCCCGTCGAGCCCCGGACTTTTCCTGTTCGGGGCCCTACGGACCGCCTCAGCCACGTCTTCTGGCGTTATGGTGATGGGGTCCACAGGCGTAACACTCGCACCCTGGCTCGCCACAACTTCCATCCAAGGGCCCTCGCTGTGGTTTACGGGCTCTGACCACAGGCCACGCCAGAATGCGACAATGTCAGCCTGGTCCGTTCCTTGGCCCGCTCCACATACCTTTGGTCGCTCCAATGATTTGTAGAGCCTCTTCTGATCACTCTGGAAGAGACGATTCTGGTTGAACCGCCTTGACCCCTCGGAAAATCGTCGAATCCGCTTCCCCCAAGCAGCAATCTTTTGCTTCAGGTCGTCTATGCGCTCCGTTAGTTTCTGCGTGATATCCGGCTGGGACAAATGATCAGTTTGTAAATCAGCAAACGCCATCCTTACGGTGCGCACAATCCTCGGTCTATTATTACCCGACCTGAAGCTTGTCAGTCTGCCGATAAGGGCCCTTGCCTTTGCGATACGGTCCTCGATTCTTTTTCTCCAGGCTGGGATGGCGTTACTTTGTGTAGTAGCGCGTCCAGCCATGGGAAGTTTGGCGTCAATAATACGGCAAACTGCCACTGTGGCTCCAAAGAGAATCGAGTCCGTCTCGCAAAGGTCCCGGCTGGCTTCCAAATAATATAAATCACCAGCATTGGGTTAATAGCCCTCACGACAGTCCGATTTCGCTTGTTTAGGGGTATGCGAGGAAGTCGCGGTCGATTTTCGAGAGGGGTGCTGCGCGTTTCCAAAATCGCCTCTTCCAATATACTCCTCATTTGCTCTAGTTCGTTTGAGACCATTTCATCGTCGTTCGAATCAACCACAACTGGAAGATCCATGGCGGCTTCCACGTGTGGATGCTGGTCTGTCGAATGTGGAGCCGCATCTCCAGCCGTAGCCGATTTATTCGACGACGGAATAGCCTCACGTCGTAGTCGTTCGAGTTCGGCATCATCGAATATTTTCTAGCGCATGATGTACCGAATTCGGTCTGCCAGGTTTTGTTCCGTGACGGGGATAGACGGCTCCAGCTCAGCAAAAAAGCAATGCATCCGAGACCTATACGCTATTCCCGCAGTTTCTTCCCCTTTCGCCCTATAGTACGCCCGCAATGCGTTTTCGTTCATGGATTTTGTCCAACGCATGCGACGTGCTCCACCAGCGGCGGGTGCCGCTTGCTGGGTCCGAGAGGACCCAGCCGATACCAAGCCTTCTGGTGGGGATGATGGATGCGAGGGGCTGCTAGGTGATCGTGCAGCTCCTCGCGCTCGGCTGGCGGCCCGCATGCTGCCGCGTCCAGCGCCAGCTCCAGACGTGCCCCGGCGACCCCCAGGCAGGTCCTATGCGCGTTCCTTTCTGTGCCATCATCCATTTTATGGGCGCCAAATAACGGGAGACGCCCAAGCCCGGTACCGTTTCGTGGTTGGGTCATATGCACAAACGGACCTTTGCATCTACAATTTTGCCTAGGCACGGCGCTCACACCTCTTGGCAGGATGCTGACTGACTGCGCCGACGTCGCAGTTTTGTCACATAACTGTTACGTCAGCGGGCGATGGGGTCGTCACTTCCCTACGCCTTTATTGTTATTATTATTATTATTTTTGGGGTATCTGTATAGTTTTCTCATCTGGTTGGTATTATTATTATTATTATTATTATTATTATTATTATTATAACCTTGACAGGACGTACAGCCAGACGAACTGTGTTTCAGCTCAGAATATATAGTATTACGTACATAGGAGCTACGTTGCAGCTATTATGGTTGTGGCATAAATGGGTCGGCTCGACCGGGGACGGACAACGCTCTCACAGAATACCAGCGTAAAATAGCAGTAGCAGTAGTAAGTGTAGAGAACCGGAGACCCTTTTTACTGGAAACGTGGCATTCCATCTTAGTCCTCACGGGTGACAACGTATCTGCATTTTGATTGTTAATCGAGGATAGATGTGTTCTATGGGCCACAGTAACCACGTATCATCACTGTGTAGTAGACTGTGTGCTCGTTTGTCACCCTATGCTATAAAAAAACGTTTGCACTTCTTTGAAGTTGAAACCTTGCCGACGTTTGATAAATCACGCACGCAAGCTAATTTAAACTTTATCGATGAACGCGAGTGTCCATTTTACTATATTTTTCCTATCTGTGTCACGAACGACGTTTCGTAGCTACCTTCGGCTTTCAACGAAGAGTTATGCAATACACTGCGTATTGTATTACTCTTTTAATTTTTTTTAATTTACAACCATTTTACTTAAATATAATGTCTTATATTTTAACGTCTTTAAAATAGCGGAGATAGAGGTGTAGCCATCTCTTTAACGCCACACGTAAACCAACTATCTAGCAGTGTCAAAGGTGGGATGTGTGAGACGTCTGGTGCTGCGACCGTCAACCTGCCTGACCAGCGAGATGATTAAGGCAAGTACTCACAAAGCAGTGCACTTTTACAGCGCTTGTAAGTCGCTTTGTATAGTCTTTAAATACACTGAAGGCCTTTTTATGAATTTGCTCAAAGAGAATGTTTGCCTTAGTTGCAACGTAAGACACGCAAGTAGTCGATGGATTGCTCAGAACCGTGCTCTTTAGCATTCCTTCCTATTAAAATTATAAAAATCAATATTTTCACCTATTTATTAGATTTTGAAAAATATCATTTTTATGATTCCTTGTTCTTCGTATAAGAATTTAAGCGTGAATTTATGTAAAAAATTTACATACACTAATTGGGTACTTTCGTACATACTTGCACCTATTACATATAAATTCAAGTAACAAGACCCTTAACGATGTAAGTAAATCATATAACTTCGATGTTGTAGTTCGTGTCATGAGTTCATATGCTAACTTAAATAAGGAGTAACTTAAATGTAACAAACGTAGATTATATCTGCTGTTCGGAAATCCAAAATCCATGAAGAAATAGATTTGAATTCAAATTCATCATTTTTAATATTCAATTCATATTTACATCTAACGTTACTTACCTACTCATTAAAAAAAAACCAAAGTCTTACACAATTGTTTGGTTTACATTTTAAAAGTATATAATATAATTACTATGTGGTATGGTTTCATTTCTGTCCAAGAGGCCATCTGGGATGGTTTCGAGTAAGTACCGCCCTGTCCCTACCACCTGGTTTTGCCGCTTAGTAGAGCAGCCACTACTGGGTCCTGGCGTCATAATCATATCATATCATAAACACTCACGCCTGTCACCCAGAGGGGTAGGCAGAGACTACGGACTTCCATTTGACACGATCCTGACATACCTCTTTCGCCTCCTTTACATCCATATATCTACGAATACATGCTCGTCGGTTAAGGGTACTTTTAACGTGGCCCATTTTCAAAATATCACCAATTTGGTCGATAAACTTTTTTCTAGGGCGTCCCTTCCCAACTCTGCCGTTCACATCTGCCATATAAATTTGCTTTGTCACTCTTTCCTCATTCATTCTTTCTACGTGACCAAACCACCGAAGCATTCCTTTCTTTAATCCTGGTCACAACATCATCTTGCATACCACATTTATCTCTTATCACGCAATTTCTCACCCTGTCATTCAGATTCAACCCTAACATACTCCTTAAAGACCGCATTTCTACAGCATTTATGCTACTTTCGTGCTTCTTCTGCCACACCCAGCTTTCACTACCATACATTAAAGTAGGGATTAACACAGCATTATGAATTACCATACGTGCCTTTTTTGGGTCCTGGCGTAAGGATTTAATTCTATTCCGAGGCCTTAGAGATGGCGTAATTCATTTTTGACCACGATTTTCTCACTTGTTTCCTTCAATATTAATCTCGTAGATTAAGTACAAAACACGATGCTTCCGAGAATGAACGGAATAATCATCACATTATACTACTGAGTTATAAATAAATAACCTAGAGCAGTGACAGGAAGCAACGATTAACGTAATATATTATTCAGCGCAAGAACATGGTAATGGTGTAGGTATATTTAACTCTGTTGTGTGTACACTACATGTACATGATCTAGTGAACACTACAATATAGTTTGTGTAAGTCATTTGTTTAAATAGTAGATAAGCCTGTAGATTAACGAATTTTTCCTTTATTTAGAAAAAATTGTGTAGATTAAGAATAAAAATATTAAAATAATGTAGGTCACGTGACGGAGAACACCACTAAGAGATCGTGATTTCAAATTCTCGATTAATGTTTTTGATATAATAATTTTAACTTTTTGGATTTTCATAACGATTTTTAATATTTACATGGTTATTTTGAGTTTCTCTTAGGAAGATATGACAAAATATAACTTTACCTTCCAGACTACACTTCTTTGGGATCGAATTTCTTTACAAAAACATTAAAAATTGATGAGTAAACCAAGCCAGTTAATTTTTTTGGTATGCACGCATGATTTGGAAGAGTTTGAAAACTATTTCTAAATTTCGTTACGGTCGAATTTTAATTTAGGCTCTTTTCTGTATGCTGGCACTTCTATGTCTGAATAATGGATGGATTTTAAGATACCGGTTACCCAAATATCAACATTTTTCAGGTTTCCAGTCGAGGTTCACAAACTAGGTTTTAAGATACCATGTTCCCAGACGAAAAAGAACTTTAGTTTTTTTTATATGTTTACTTCGGTAGTATTGTAAGAGAAAAAAGTTAATCTGATGTTTACCAAAAATATTACTTTTTTTTAAATTTAAATATTATTTGCTCCATAAAGTCCACAAGTTAATTTTGTTTTATGGTTGTAATAGATGTTATGTTACATTATTTTTTCAAGTACGTACCCTATTACGCAAAAACTTACCGACCGGTCTTTCTCTAGATGAGGAATATACACCAATCAGTAATTAAGATAACGTCGTTATTAGAACCAACAAAATTGTTTATTCTAGTCATTCTTATATTATCTGCTTGTAACGTCAAATGTAAAGTGGGACATTTCAAACAAAAAATAAAAACAAATAAAACGTAAAAATGTTGTAAAAGGACCAATATAAAACGTTTTCGTGTGAAATGGAATATAGCAGATTTGTCAAACGGATCACAAATATTTTTATTTGTTTTCTAAACCATTTATCGTTGTTTTACAATTGTAACAAGGGAATTGAAATTTTCAATTCGTTTGAAATTTCCAGTGGATACGTTCTATGTTATAATATAAGTATGTATATGTGATAGATATATTGTGAAAATAGAACAATTTACCGAACGAACGGAACGAACAGAACGAATTTCTTTATTAGTCTGGGACAAAAGCGAGCATATTCCGCAATCTGCGCCTTACTTCAAAACATCTGAAAAGTGAACGGAGAATAGTCTCTACGCTACAAATCCCAGCAAATGAATACAGTTTCAATTCAGAGAGTATTCGATGGGAAACAGTGTTAACGGTTGAAAATCTTGAGAACTTTATGCTCGTTTCGCTCCATATTTCCGAATTATTATTTTTGGCGTATTCAAAGAAAACTCACCTTAAATCTTTAAGCGGCTTGGGGGCGGAATCGTTCGCCGTAATGATGGTATGAAATTTTTTAGAGACGGGGTCACCGTGCGATCGTATGTGTTGATACCACAAATACGCCCTAAGAAAAAAACATTCATAGAGTCAATTAAAACAACTGCATTAATGTAAATATCAGCAAATTTGTTAAAGTAGTGCAGCATACGAGTATTTATACAACATGAGGGCGTAAGCTTTTGTTTTTGGATCAAGATTAGGGGTGAGTCGCATTCGATTTTCGCGTACTTTTAGGTACTTCTAGGTAGTACATTTAGGTGCTTCTTAGCGCAAAATAATACTTCATCATATGTTACCGTTACCGTTACAGTCTCTGCTAAACATAGGCCTCCCTCATAGATTGCCTAGTAGGGAGGATATTTGCCATAGTTGCCACACTTGGCAACCACATTTTATCTTTATTTTAGTCGTTATGAGGATAACAATGTTGCCAACGCCTGACCTGTTTCCTTCTGTTGACTCTTACGATACCACCGGGATGATATGGGGTAGTCGATATTCTTACACCGTCACTACACGGTCATGCCGTGTTATTAATGGTAGCTGGATGACCGAGCTTTGCTCGGTTTTTTTTTTTTGAAATTACATTTAGATACAAATTACATACTGATGAAACATAAATAATATTTTTTGATCTTATTGACACAATAGAAAAAACTGAACTGGTTATTTGAATAAAAAATCATGAGTGCAATTAGTTTAATTAAAATTTTCGTAATTATAAAAAATAATAAAAAAGGGCTCGAAATAATAGATTTTCTCAGAAAAGAACGGAACTTGAAAAAAAATGAAAAAAAAAATCGGACCGACAACAGGACGCGAACCAAGGCATTACGATTTCGCGACCGCTCGATATCCACCTGAGCTATTACGATCATTAACAGTGTCAAAATTTACCTTCTTATATTGTAGCAGTTTTTCATTGCCTGAAACCACGGACAAAAAGACATTTTCTAAAAATAAATCCTAGCTAGATCGATTTATTGCCCCCGAAACTCCCTGGACACTAAATTTTATGAAAATCGTTGGAGGCGTTTCCGAGATTCCGATTATATATATACTTATAGAGAATACAAGAATTGCTCGTTTAAAGGTATAGGATTTATTATTTATAATAATACCCAAAAAAATATAATAATACTAAAGCTCCTAATAAGAGGTCGTTATATATCATCAAACATGTTTACATTTCTAAAGTATATTCGGATTTAAAAAGCAAAGTTACGGATTTACAGGATTAAAAAGCAACAACATTTCCTATTTTTAATTAATTTATTTTTTATACACTACATTTTATTTAGTTTGTGCACATTGCAATACACAAATAAATGGTGAGAAGCCTTTTAAAAGCAGTGGGAGCTCAGGTGCTAAGCGCTTGTTGTAAATTTCACCCGAACCTCACCGGCATCAATGAAATCGTTGAAAGCAATTTTAAGTGTTGATTTTGCACGCACTCGGCGGTGAAGAAAAATATTGCGAGGAAACTTGCATGTCTGAGATATTAAAAGAAAATATTGCAAGACATGTGAACTTCTACAATACGCATTGGGCAGTGCAGTGGATATATCTTTGTCCTGTATCCTTTGAGAAAAGGGAAGTCGCCTGTGCCCAACATTGGGACGCTTATAAGATGTAACCTTAAACCTTAGAGACAGGTAAGATGTTTCGTGTTTTCATTTAGATTGTTTAAATTGTATTGTATGATGCTAAGAAAAACTGCACAATATGTTATATTGATTTTATTTTTATTATTATAATAAAGTTCTAGTCATATCATGCATCATTTATTCTTTTTTATGCCACATCAGACGCAGCTAAGGGGTCGGTCGTACAGACGTCTATAACCTGAGCGAGTTTCAATAAAATCAAATCCTGTAATTGGACGTAGTGTCGCAACAATGTGTCACAGGATATAATAAAATAAAATATAGTAAAATATGTGTAAGAAATCATTTTAGAAAAATAAAAAATACTACTTCATGATTGCCAAACCACACTGGACCACCGGGTCATCCGGCTTAGCGAACTTGGAGTTCATTAAATGAAACTAAGTTTAACTAACCAGCACTTTACAGTACCCATGGTGACGAGAAAGCCCCGGAGGCTTTCTCGTCACCATGGGTACTGTAAAGTGCTCGAAACATCGAGAATTTAAAATAATATACGCGACATATTCGACAAAACTTAAACTTCAAGATGCCGTTAAATCCCCCCCGAACGGGTTCCCGTCTTGTCGTGGCGGGGGGGCTTAGTAGCCGTGGCTTGGTCTCCCACGGTGAACAAAGAGGAACCCACGTGGCTAGCCCGAGGTGAAGGGCCGGCCTGAGGTGGCCACTCCGAGTGGGCTTGGGGAGCCCACTTCGGATGTGTGCTAGTGGACTGCAGCGAGTGGGGACTCCGCACCCTATACCGCTGCAGCCGAGGTGGAGTCGCGGAGGAAGAGGAGTGTTGGTATAGCGATGCGCCACTCGCCCTATCCTCCGCAACTCAAACGGGGCCGCACCGTTGATGCGGTGGTGATGGGGCTGCGGGGGGAGAGGATTGTCGGTATTGCGAGGCGCCGCTCTCCCTATCCTCCGCAGCCGAATCTTGGTTGGCTGCGGAGCCATAGACCAGATCCGCCGCTGGGGTCGGGAAGGCTAGTACTTCTAAGTGCTCGTTTTTCCTGGCCCCATGGCCTTCGCGCATCGGACGCGGGGGCGTCTGTTGCGCAGATGCAATTGGAGGCCGTGGAGGAAGGCGTGCCATGTGTTCTGGTGCGCCTTACTTGGGAAGGAGAACGGGGAGGAATATTCCTCTCCCTAGGAGGTGCTGCCATGGGGCGGCAGTCGCTGGTAGGGCCGCGGAAGTGTGCGAAAGCGTTCCCGTAGCCCTGCCAATATGCGACGAAGGTGGAACACCATGGGGTTTTAGTCGGTGCGAGTCCGACATAACCCGTCCTTGCCCCCGCGAGGCGGGTATGCGTAGGCATTTCCCCATGTTAAAAAAAAAAAAAAGATGCCGTTAAATGTAGTGACGTCACAGCCACTTATACTTAAAGAGATAGAGAAACATGAAACTTAAAGGCTTCTTAAAATTGAGCAACGTTTGAGTATTTGAGCATTAGTAAGCGCTAAATAAAATTGAATGATAATATAAGTGGCACTATAACATCTCTAGTGCAGTAAATAACTTACCATTATACTAGGAAGTTATCGAAGTAGCCGAAAACGACCACGAAGATATCACTTACATTTATAACATGTAATTTATTTTAATTATAAATATTAAAGCTTATAGTAAAAAGTATTGTAAAATAAGATTCTGCAATCAAAATACACCTGCAATCAACTTCAAACAAAATAAACTATAGATGCGTTGCCAATTGCCACGCCTAAGGTCTATAAATAGCCCCACAGCCTGTAATCATTATTTATTACAGGCCAATACCTGTTACTATTACGGGTGCACTGCTGCTCGGCGACAAAAAAAGGTAAAAAGATAGAACCTACACACACGGATCAGTTAGCGTTAAAGCCTGTCTAAGTCCACAGCTGAACATATCCTTCCCCATAAATTGACTCATATGGGATATTTGCCATAGTTACCACGCTTGGCAAGATGAGGTGGAGTAGTAGATATTCTGACACCGTCACTATACGGCCTCCAACTGAATAACTGCCGGTAAATCAAAAACTTACCCCCCCAGAGCGGATTGAGTTCATCGGGTCGAAGTTGGAAATACTTGTCGGCAAGTGCGAGAGGCGGCGCTGAAGCCAGTCGTACGTTCGTCCAGCAACGTAGGAATTTTACAACCGACTCGAACGTGTAAAGCGCGAGCCGGTCGTTGTCATAGTTCGATATATTTGTCATGAAGATGTTGATCTGCCGATTATTGGTTGGTTATTAACAGTATTTTAAGATAACTATTATTCATTCATCACCGTCCATTACAAATCCACTACTGAACATAGGTTTTACCCATTTGTTACCTCATAGAAAAGATATTTGCTAAAGTTTCCATTCTTGGCAGACGGCTTGAAAATCGCTTTCCTTAAATTTAGTTGAGTAATATTCTATTTAAAGTTTAGGTGAGAATAGTGTGAGTTGATGTCAGGGAAATGTTGCTCACAATCCTGTTCAGTTTCCCACTGTCGCTTTTTACGACTCCCAGCGGAATTTTAAGGAGTTGTTGATTTTCGCTTTAAAGCCAACAATACACGGCAATATTTTAAAGATTAAAAAAAGTAACGTTTAAGAACATTTCAAACAAAATTTCATTAAAAAATGTCGCAGAACAATTAAAAGAAAAGAAAGTAAGTGGTCGAGCGATAGGGTACTAATTTTAAATCCGACCCGAATGAACCAGAAAATAGTGATGCTAATGGTTCCTGTATTCAATTCCCTTTGTCACTTTGAAAAAACATACAACCAAGACCCGGAGACAAATGGCTGATGAATTTGGGGTTTCTCAGGCCACTGTCAACCGTATTATCAAGAAGCATTAAGAAATGGGTAGCGTTGCTGCGAACAGGGTTGGAAAATGTGGACGAAAAAGAAAAACAACACCCAAGAATGATGAGTTACTGATCAGAATCAGTAAAATCAATCCTAGAAAATCAGCTGTGGACCTTACTCGCGAACTACACGAGGATGGCATCAACCTGCATGTGGAGAGACAACCCCATCAAAAAAGAGCTGCTGACTCAGGCCATGATGAAAAAGAGATATCAAAAAATGGGAAAAACACACCAAGACTGGACTGTGGAGGACTGGAAAAGGGTACTCTTTTCTGATGAAAGCCATTTTTTCACAAAGGGAGAAGTTGTAAGGTTTGTGCGTCGTAGTGCTGGAGAGAAGCTTGGATCAGCTCATATCCAACAGGTCCCAAAACACCCCGAAAAAAATGTTTTGGGTTTTTTTTCATACCATGGTGTAGGGCCTCTCGTTCCCATCGAAGGAATGAAAGGAAGGAAAACCGACCAGTACAAAAAAATTATGACTGAAAGAATGAATGTTCAACAATGTTTCGCCTTCAGACACAAGTTTTTTTCGGTACTCGGTGAAGTTTTTCCGATGAATATTGGCACGGCCGGTGTATAAGGCATCACGAGTGCTGTCGTCTGCGTAGTAATGAATGTTACCGGTTTGCACGATATCATTGATATGCAGAAGAAACAGCGTTAGTGATAGCCTGCAGCCTTGTAGCACCAGCGTTAATTCGCTTGTAATCGGAGTATGCACCGTCTGGTACGACCTTGACGCTCCGATCTGCAAGAAAACTAGTAATCCAATCGCACAATTTCTAGGGAAGCCCATAGGAAGTATGTTTCGAAAGAACCGCTTTGTTCCAAACCAGATCGAAGGCCTTCGTTATGTCCAACTAGCGGCCAACGTCTCCGTCTTAGACTCCATTACCTCCATCCATCTATGAGTAACCCAAAAGATCACCAGCTGAGTGACCCCGACGTAAACCGTACTGATGGTGAATAATCAGCTGGTGATCCTCAAGGTATTTCATGAGCTGACAGTTAATATTTGTTTCTTTTTTTTTTTGTTTTTGTTTTTAGAGAACAAGGGGATAGCGATAGGCATGTATGTCATTTTTATAGTGATCGGGTGCACCAAAGCTCTCTTAAATGAGTTCGGGACTACGCCTACAGAGTAGGAGTACTGCAAAAGACGCGTTAAGACCGGTGCCAACTCCAGACCACAAGTCTTCAGCACAATAGGTGGGACTCTATCAGGCCCACTCGACTTTTTGACGTCAAGGGAGAAGAGTGCTTTGCACACCGAGTGCTGTGTAAACAGCACATCCCGCATGGAGCACTCACCGGGATAGTCGGCGGTGTGTTCCTCCCGTCCTCGGAAGTCAAGTTGAACGCATAGAGAGAGCCTAACAGATCGGCTTTTTACTTTGCAGCATGGGCCAGTGAGACGGTTGAGATGGCTGACAGAAGTTTCCTTGGACAGTCTTGGCGAGGGACTAGAATGCACGTGTTCCCGAAGGAAATCGAACTAGTTTCTCGCCAATTCTGCCGATGTGCTCTGACTTTGCCCTGGCAATGATACTTTTGTAGGACCTGAAGGTAGAATTATACTTCCTTTTAAGAGCGCTAGTGTTTCCATCCCGAGATGTTGATGCGTCAGCCCAAGCCCGGTAGCACTCCTGCTTATGGCGTAATGCAATTTTACAGGAGTCACCAAACCATTGCTGAGTTCTGCCTCCGATAGGCACCACAGATGATGGAATAAATAATTCCCGGAAGTACCACATCAGCGACACACTCAGCAACAACGTTGGGATATCCAGCGAAAAGTAAACCCGCCTCCAAGGGTAGATGCAAATAAGACCACATCCTTTCCCAATCGCTCGACCTATAGTGCCAAACACGGCGAAAACTTGAGAACACAGGCGCGATGGGCGCGATGTAAGTGCGATCATGCTGAGTGGCGCCGTATTCCGAATCAGATAATGGTACAAGGAGCCAAGAGGGGCATCAACGGAGCTCTGATATCCGTCTGACTGAGAGGTCAGGATAAGGTCCAACATGGAAGGTACATAGAAACCAGTTGTGTCGGATCATATGCCAAGTCATATACAGAACAACCCGCATGATCGGTTTAACGAGATCCAGGAAATTCAGCGTGATGGGCGTTAAAATCACCAAGCATCACGACATATACATAAACTCCAGCTCGGGGTACAAAAGAATGTTCTAAATTGTATTCCGGGTAGGAGAGATACGAAGTATCAACCGAAGAGGATACCTGTGTCTTGGTTAAAAAGCTCCACATGGTAGTGGACGGCGGTAAGTTTTGAGTGAAGTCCCCTGATGTTGCAGAAATTCTCGGACAGTGTGGCAGGGGTCTCTTTGTCTTATTGCTCCGCTTATCCCGAGCCGTTTTAGTCTTAAGCGGAATCCCCCCCCCCTCCCAGAATACGCGGAACAGTCTGAGCCCACGCACAGGAAGAGTAGATTAATTTGGGCGTGAATGCTCAGCGAGGGATTAAGGGGTAATGTTTTCTTTAAAACCGCTACCATATATAGAGGTGGCGGGGGGAGGAATTGGGCCTCCACCCACACTTACTAGGTGAAACTCAGAACTAAACTTCTACTTCACGCTGGTATTCTGCGAGGTCACGGTACCAAGCCGACCCATCTGTGCGACAGCAAAAGCTACTGCCTGGCTCTGCCCAGTAGCGGTGTAAGGGCAGGGTGCGGGAACCGCCCAGGAGCACAACATGAAGGGGCACCGAAGTTGAAAAAGTAAAGTCCGAAATTATATCGCTAGTTAAAAATACAAACATTGTGATTATAGCTGAATGCACCCGAGATATTACTCACGTAGAACAACTTTCATTCACAGTCCGATTTGTTCATTTATAATCAAATGAAAATGAAATAAGTGTAAAGGAACATATTTCATAGAATTTTAAAAATTCAGACCAGTAGTGCCACTAAATTAATGTTTTAAATAAACATGGACTTAAATTGGGTACGACAACGGAGTATGAAAGAGTATGAGAGTCCTAAGAAAATTTCTGGACTAAAACCCCTTAGCTATATATATATACCGTGTGGCTGCTATAGCTACAATCTCGTACCATGCGATACTTCTGAGTCATCGATAAAATCAATCACTTTATTTAAGGTACTTCAGAGGTTGTTCACATTGTTTTCAGCTTCATTTTATCGATGGAAAATTCTAAATTATCACTTTAGGTTTATATTCTATAATATAAAATCAATTGCTGTCCGTTAATCCTATACTAAAGGTATAGGATTACGAGCAATTCTTGTGTATATATATATATATAATTGGAATGTCGGAAACGGCTCCAACGATTTTCATAAAATTCTATTATGTCAATAAGACCAAAATATATTATTCATGTAATTTGTATCTAAATGTATTTGATATTGTTGTATATATATGTATATAATGTATGTATATATCTATATGTATTTCATCAGTATGTATTTGTGTCTAAATATAATTTCCAAAACACACGAATTAAAAAAATACAGAGCAAATCTCGGTCAACCGGGTACTCTCTTTAAAACACGAAACTGGCTCGACTGATTCTGATTATCTTTTTTGTTTGAATGGGTCTTTATATGTTTTTTTTATTAACAATTGGACCCGCTGGTGACGCTAAGCCGGGGCGAATTGCTAGTATTCAGTAAAAAAGATCAGTAAAACACGAATAAGCAGTGTTAAAGCAGTCCGTTGTCTAATTATATATATATATATATATATATATATATATATATATATATATATATATATATATATATATATATATATATCAATCATTACAGCCCTTTACAAGTCCACTGCTGAACATAGGCGTCCCCCAAGGTATGCCACAAAGCACGGTCCTGAGCCACCTGCATCCATCGACTTCCTGCATTTCTTACCAGGTCGTCACTCCATCTAGTGGGGGGTCGCCCTACACTTCGTCTACCGGTACGTACGAGGCTGCCACTCGAGAACCTTTTTTCCCCAACGGTTGTCGGTTCTTTGAGTTCTAATCCATTGGGCTACGTCGGTCACTCTGGTTCTACTGCGGATATCCTCATTTCTAAGTTTATCACGCAAAGAAACTCCGAACATAGCCCTCTCCATAGCTCGCTGAGCGACTTTGAGCGTCCTCATATGGCCAGCAGTGAAGGACCACGTCTCAGATCCGTACGTCATCACTGGCAACACGCACTGGTTGTACAACTTAGTTTTCAGGTTTTGAGGTATACCTGACGAGAAGATGTGTCGTAATTTCCCGACCGTTACCCAGCCGAGTTGAATCCGTTGATTGACCTCTCGGTCGAAATTGGACTTACCTAGCCGGACTATTTGTCCCAAGTAAACGTACTCGTCAACAATTTCGAGCTTAGTGCTCCCAACAAGTACCGGCATAGGTGTGGCATGGACATTAAACATGATCTTTGTTTTGTCCATGTTTATCTTAAGACCAATACGTTGGGAGGCACTATTGAGGTCATTGAGCATAGTGCTTAAGTCCTCCAGCGATTCTGCCATAAGGACTATATCGTCGGCAAATCGAAGGTGAGTGATGTACTCGCCATTGATATTTTGTTTTGGTTTTCGGCTAATACCGTATCCTTTCCAGTCCAGTAGCTTGAAAATGTCTTCCAATGCAGCGGTGAAGAGTTTCGGGGAAATAACGTCACCCTGTCTTACACCTCTCTGCAGTTGGATAGGTTTCGTACTCTGGTTCTGTACTCGGATAGCCATCGTAGCTCCCTACTGTACAAACACTTCAGCACTTCGATATACCGACAGTCAACTTGGCACCGCTGATGAGACTGTAGCACCGCCCAAATTTCGACGGAATCAAAGGCTTTCCCATAGCCCACATACGCCAGGCATATTAATATATATATATATATATATATATATATATATATATATATAAAAAAGAATAAATAAATAAATATATATATATATATATATATTTATTTATTTATTCTTTTTTGTACACCACAATACAGAAACATCAATACAGTTAAAACTAATTAAAGTATGTACAATAGGCGGTCTTATCACTGAAAGTGATTTCTTCCAGACAACCTTTGCGTAGAGGAATGATGCAAACAAAAGTTACAAAAAGAGGGGGGCATACAAAATAATAATAATAAAACACAATAATACATACAAATAAAAGTAAGTGAAAGTTATATATAAAATATCATATAATAGATTAAATGAAAAGATTAAGAGAAAGGTAAAGTAATTTATCTAATAGCGTTCTAAATAATACGATTTAACA